ACACATGTTTAGACACACACACAAGCAGACACGGGCAACTAAATGTCACCAAAGATAGTTATGCCATTATTACTGTATCATTGTTGCCACTTCACAGTTTTAGAATTGTTTTTACTTTTTATTAGTGATTTTCACTATTCGGCCGAATACGAATAGTGGGACCAACTATTCGGCCGAATACGAATACGAATAGTGTATCATCATCATCAGGTGACTTGCCGACTGGCGTGTGCGATCATGCCTCTCCACAATTTGCGATCTCCTGCAGCATGTATCAGTTCGTGTGCTGACACACCTCCATGCCATGCAACAAGACTGTCAAGAATCTTCTCTCGTTGTCTTCCTCTATCCCTCCTTCCACAGATCTTTCCAGCGGTCACCAAATGTTCAATTTTCCCTCTTCTCATAAAATGGCTGAAAAATGACGACTGTCTCCTTCTGATGTCTGTGATGTCCGCCTTTTTCAAAACCATCGTTGGCTCGGCTGTTCGTTCGATGTAATTTAAACGCACCTTCATATACTAGTTAGCAATATCTTCAAATTTGATTTGGGCGAAGACACCCTGAAAAAAAAACAAAAAATGCACGATCTCTCTCTTTCTCTCTCTCTCTCTCTCTCTCTCTCACACACACACACACACACACACTCACATGCACACACAAACACACACACACACTGTGGTTGCATATTATGCAGTTTGTACTACGCAACCGGGTCGCAGTTCCACCCGCTACGACAGTCTAAGGCAACAGCAACTATTGTGTTAATGAGAGAGTTATTTTAGTCCATCGCAGTGTATGCAAAAACGGGAGTAAGGTAACCACTGTTCGTATTCGGCCCGACAGGGTATAATGTTTTGTAATAGTTATTAGGTCCACTATTCGGCCCCGAAGCGAATACGAAGCGAATATTCGGTACAGCCCTACTTTTTATCCCTTGCTCCCAAATTATCCTCCATCTCTTCTCACACCGGTCGGTTCTTTAAAGTGCGCGCGTGGACACCATTAAAAATGTCGTCATGTGACAGTGCCCTCTGGCGACGGTAATTGTCTTTTGAAATTATCTGGTGCAAATCAACTAGAACATTCCTTTGATGTCTTCATGGCATAGGCGCCTCGCGGAAACAGCTACTTATGTCAACAGTTGCAAGGACATTGATGCGAAAATTACCATTGCATAACAGGTTGAACTGAAGAAAAAAAAACTGCTTAACCCCGATGAGCAAATAATAATAATTTTTAAAGAAAACTATAGATAACAGGAAAAAAAGAAGAAAAGTTGAATGCGCTCCAGGCATTTTTTTATGTCCCCACATTTCTTAGATAAATCGACACTCGAGATATAATTTAGTCAACATCACATCGACTGCCTTTGCTTCAAAAAGACAATGATCAGTTCGCACCGTGAGCCTATGTCAATAGTTAAATTCCGTCTCGCTGGAGATTTGAACCGATAACCACCTGGCAAATGTGCTATCATTTTAGCTATTGCCCTGTCCGGGCAACATACCTGTCTAACCCGAACCTTAAAGACCAGAATGGAGATTCTGAAAAAGTATTTTAAATCAAGAGAAGAATAAAATATTCAGGGCAAGAATTTACCAGCCTTAACAAAATAAGAAAGACAAAAAGTCTTAGTTTGAATACAAAACTCAGAATACGAAACAACAACTCATGATAATACAACCTTGAATGCTGGAAAATAAGAGCAGGTATTGTACGTCAACTAGAAACTTTTCAAAATAAATGCGCGATGAAGCTTGTGAAATGTTTTATCATGTTGAGAACACAATATTCATCGCTGGCTAACGTTATTAAAAGAGGCGGTCAGGATATACTTGTAGAATGTCCCATGGTGAGCGAGAACGGCTCTCTGCCGATGCCAGAATCACAACAAATAAATCAAACCAGTAAGACGTGGACGCCCCAGGAAACCCGCAGAAAGACAGTGGGAAAAATGCAGTAGTGGTGCAGGCCAGTGGCAATAGAGATCACTTATGAATGAATGACTTTTGTGTCAGCAACGCAAAGTGACTATAAATAAATAAGTATTACATAACCTCCTATCTACCCACCTAGGTTTCATGGGGTTGATAAAGATTAAAACTTCAAGAGCCAAAACTGTATCGTCAGTCTTCAATGCATCTGACAAATCAAGATAAACGCGAAATGTCAAATCAATTACATTCTGTTTATTTGATCCCTTCCACGACTTGCCGCTTGGCATTTACAAAACCAGCGTCGCCAATAGTACATGAGCCAGGTATTCTTGTTTGCTGCAGTGTTTGCTTTCAGATTTTCTGACCTAATCTACATCAAAAGAATTTTTCAAATCAGAATGGTTTTGTTCAAAGTCACACAGGCAGATTTTACTTTGATGTTTTGTCTTTTCATTTGAAACATTTTTTTGAGAGAGACAGAAAGAGAGAGTTGTGGAGAGAGACAGAGAGAGAGAATAGGGGGAGACAGAGCGTCTGGAGAAAGAGAGAGATAAAAGGAGTGAGTAAGAGAAAGAAGAGAGAGAGAGAGAGAGAGAGAGAGAGAGAGAGAGAGAGAGAGAGAGAGAGATGCATGAGGTTTAGAAGAAAAAAACTGGAGTCCTAATTATGAATACGTCATCAGTTGAAAATACCGGCTAAAGCTACAGACTACAAATAACAAAGCACAACTGTTTGTGCCACATTCAGCGTAGTTTTCTCAAGCCGCTTTCTGATGAAGATCTGTCACCAAAACGTTTTTTCATGTCCGTCTGTCTCTCTTAGATCGTGTTCTGGGTAAACAGTCCTAATACCCCACTGGCCCTCAACCTGTTTCTACATCCGCGGCCCGCCGTGACAGGGGCAATTGTTTCACAGCCTGCAGTGGCAGGGATAATTGTTTCGCGGACCAGTGTGACAGGAACAACGGTCCACCGTAGCAGGGACAATTGTTTCGTGCTCTACCGAGACGGACATTTATTCGTCGCCGACCGTGACAGAGGCAATTGTTTCACGGCCCGTCGTAACCGGAATTTTTTCACTGCGCCATGACAATGACCATTTGTTTTAACAGCCCGCCGTGACCAGAACAATTGTTTCACGACTAGCCGTGACAGGGACAATTGTTTCACGACTAGCCGTGACAGGGACAATTGTTTCACGACTAGCCGTGACAGGGACAATTGTTTCACGACTAGCCGTGACAGGGACAATTGTTTCACGACTAGCCGTGACAGGGACAATTGTTTCACGACTAACCGTGACAGGGACAATTGTTTCGTGCTCCACCAAGACAGACCAATAATCTTATAACTCAGAATTGGATTTTTTTTTTTTTTTTAGTTAAATCAAAAACATTTTATGTTTGGACACAAGAGTCACACCAGAAGACAATTCGATGAACTTTTCTTTTCCATGATGATCTTATATCTTCTAGAAGGGATTGTTGATTTAAAGTTGCCTTTACATAGATCCTCTTATTCAGAGAAAATTATTGTCCAACTTTTCTAACTTTTTTACGATGCTGAGCGGAGTTCCGGGATTTGTACTGTCCTGGGGGGAAGAATGAAAATAAAAACATAGAAGTAGGCAGATGAGGAAAAAGAAATATGGCTAGGACAAAATTTAGTAGTTTCCCACTGAACAGCAAAAACAGGAAAAGTAAAGAAAAGACAAGGATCTTCTTTGCAGGGTCCACGAATTATTTAATCCTAGCCCTGGCGATGACTTTGTGAGTTACACAACTACAACAAAATTTGAAAACACACACCTAGACCAACCACATGCACGGACTACACATTCTAACATGAATAAAGCAAATGCATTATAATTATCACTTTCAACACTTGTTTATTTCACTGAACACAGAATTATTGTATACTTCACAGATAACATTATATTAACAACCACCCACTTGCTCGACCAATATCTAAAGTGCTTATCATCTCCAGCTACGAAGGAAATATGATAATGAACCCATACGTTCAGAAATTTACATCAGTGATGTCAAAAATTTAACAGCTTAACATGTAACACCACCAGATCTGTGGACTGTAGATCGCTTGTAGCGACTAGCAATCAGCCTATCTCCAAACTAGAATGCACAATAGAAATCTAGATCTAAAGCAGCTGCTAGATAAAATTGATAATCTATGCGAAACTAACCATAGCGTTCACCACCGCCATAATTACAGAGCCAGACTCGCTATCTCGGCCCAGCCATCGCACCTGAGACCACGTGCGATCAACATCACAAACACTAGGCAACTGACCGGAGCACAAGAGACACCCAGAGGGGGGAGGGAGGGCGAGAGAGAGATAGAGAGAGATAGAGAGAGAGAGAGAGAGAGAGTGAGAGAGAGAGCACAGTACAAGACTTTTTAAAGACACCTGGCCTCTACGTGCCAGTTTTACAGTCCAACTGAATTTACCAGCTTGTAACCGTCCAGCTACATTACATTTCTGATTCTCATCAAAGTTGTTGATCCTGAAGACTTACCATACCCGGTCACACAATTAAGAGAAAATTTCAGGTGGCCAACCTGGACTTTTCCACTACCAACTATGGGGCCATGGCGCACGGGTTGAAGAACATTTGTCTGCCCTGCATGGTTTGTCTTCTTGTCTTTTGCATTTTAACAGTTAACTAAGTTAATTTCTGCACAAAGGACCGCATCAGTGATAACTCAGTTGATTACTTAACTATTTTGATGCCTTCATTTATGAAACATCAACAAATATAATGATCCACATGATATAACTTACATAATTCTAAAGTGTCACAGAAAAATAATTGATGCTAGTTTCTAGTTCCACAATATTATATCAGTTTGCTTTGTGAAAAAAAAAATGTGTGTATACTCTTTCCTTTCTCAGGATTTCAAGTTGGTTGATCAGTGTTGGGTATTGGAGACAGCATCACAGCAAGAGAAGTCAATTCAGCAGTAATCAAACTTACAATGCAAAGTTCATGGTTATGTTTTCTTTCACTCTGTGGCACTAGATGATGATGCCCCGCCAATCATGACGGTAAATCTGACAGAAATGGTTACTATGGCGACGCCGGAGTTCAATACAACAATTTCTACAAGCACGGACTTAGCCAGCTCTCCAATGACCGTGGAAGTGTTCGCGGTGG